TGATAGCATCAAAGCCCCAGGCGGACATCAGCAGGTGACGAGCGAAGGGCAGCTGCCCGGAGCGGGGAAATACGGACTGGACGCCACACTGAGCCGCAGTTCGAAGTTTTGCCCCTCCTGGCCAGACACCCACATCCCCGTTCAGAGGAATGACCCGGGGCGGCCTTTTCCCCTCTTCCCAGAATTGCCAAAAAGTGGAAACCCAAATGCCCATCCACTGAGGAATGAATGAATGGAGTGTGGTACGTCCATACACGGGAATATTATTTGGCAAATAATAAGGAATGAGCACGTATACACTACAACACGGGTGGACTGTGAAGACACTAGGCTAAATGAAAGAAGCCAGATATAGAAGGCCGCATGCTGTATGATTCCATTTATAGGAAATGCTCAGAACAAGCAAATCTATAGAGACAGGAAGTAGCTTAGTGGTTGCCACGAGCTGTGAGAAAAGGGTCATTGAGAGCGGCTGGTAACGGGTCAAGGGTTTCGTGTCGGGGTAATGGAAAAGCTCTGGTATTGGATGATAGTGATTTGTTTGTGTACTAAGCAAGTCATTTAACTGCATCCTTTAAAGTGACTATGTTTGTATTATGTGAAATTTTATATTATGTGAATTATATCTCAACTTAAAAATAACCCTGGTGGCTTGGTTTTTGTCTGTGTGTGTGTGTGTGTGTGTGAATCCATACCTTACTTAGCATAAGTGTAATGGCCTTGTTTTAAAGTTAAAAAGCACGGTTAGTTCTAAAAGAGCTCCCCGCCTCTCCACCGTATCCATCCCCTCACCTTCTGCTCACCTGTCAGTCATCACGGATATTCCAGGTCAAGTCAAAACCGAAGGTAAAGAAAGAGGCTGACTCGGGGAAATGGGCAGACCTCCTATTTCTATGTTACATACAACCCTAGCCTGGGCGAGGCTTGTGTTACGTAGACCTCGTCGTCCGAGATAAAGGTTTCCAACGGCACAGCGAGGCCCGTCTTCAGAGGCATCTGCACTTCACCCCTTTCCCGAGTGGGTCAGGGCGACTGGGCTCCGCGCTCCCTTCCCGCTGCCTTCCAGGCGCTTTCCGGGAACTTGCTACAATCTCACCCCCGGATGCATCCTTACGTCGCTGCTGAGCCCATCCTCTGGTGCAGTATCGTGATTACAGTCACAGTAGGCAGACAAAGGCTACAAGCATCGCTTGCGAAACAGACAAATGCATCCAGTCAGTGGACACCGCGCTTTCTCCTTACTCTCACAGAGACAGCGCCAGGTCGCAGTCAAAAGAAAACAGCGCGCGCGACAGTCCTGGAGAGAGTCATGCGTCTGGATCGCAAGTTTTGGGGAGCGTTTTCTCTGGCACGTGACGTCCCTACCTCCTCTACACTGAGCGAGCGGGCAGACATGAAGTGCCCCACTCTCACCCTGACACGGTTCGAGGCAAAGGAAGCCCGCTGCTTTCCTGGTGCCGACCACGAATGATCGCCCCGTGACAAGACACGCCCTGGAAACTGTCGCCCATCGAGGCAGGACGCTAGGGATTTGCGTTAAGGTAAACAAAGGCTCTGGCGTTTGACTGGGTTTCATTGTAGAAAAACAACTGGGGCAGGGACACGGAACTGTACCTCTTCCTCCGTGCACTTTTCAAATGATAATCTCTCCCACTGTCACCATTAAATCTTCATCCATCGCAGCCCCTCGCATGGCTCATTGAGTCTATATGTACTGCTGTTATTTTCCAATGCTTCCCCTTGGAAGGGAGCGAGGGGGGTGGGGGGGAGACGATGTGGAGAGCCAGATGGGCCTCTTCACAGTTCATTTATCAAACCTAATACGCCCGGCTCCACCCTCCTCTCGCTGGCGATTGCGGTTAAACTTCCATATAATTTGGTAATCATTTTCATTATCGGAGAGTGACCCTGAAGCAGCCGATCCCGGGACGCCGGCCTTGCAGCTGCTCCTTTCCTGCCTGCCCTACAGTAGGCCCGCAGGATCGCGCGGTTTATTAGCTGCAGGCTGACCTCGGGGCTGCGGAGGTCAAGACGGGGTCAGGGCGGAGGGCCTGCCCGGTTCTTTAAAAGCTATAACAAGCTGTCCGTCAGGCGGAGGGGAGTGTGTAAACAAAGCCAGACCTGCGGAAACTCTGTCCGGCCTCTGTTAACACTCGCGCCGCATTCACACGGCCTCCCCGCGGCGCCGCGGACCATTCAGCTCCGGGAAGCGAGCCGACAGCCCTAATCAGCCTATTTGGAGGGGCTGTTTACGGGATCACCGAGCTCGGGCAAAGGAAACCGACAGCCCTCGGACGGGGGCCTCTGCCACCACGGGGCTGGGTGACACTGACCAACTCCCCGCATCACGCAGAATCGTCACTTTCCTCCCAAAGCCACGTTACAGGGAACATGTGCTTGCGGTTTAGGGGCTTCAGAGGGTCGTTCCGAACCATGGCGTGGCTCCTGGCCCGAGAGAGTCACACTTTTTTTTTCTATTTGTTTTGTTTTGTTTTTTCATGGAATGTATTGGGGGGGACATTGGTTAATAAAGTTGTAAAGGTTTCAGGTGTACGATTCTCTGACACATCATCTGTCTATTGTCCTGTGTGTCCACCACCCCGAGTTACATCTCCTTCCATCACGGTGTCTCCCCCATACCCTCTCCCACCTCCCCCCACCCTTTCCTTCTGGTAATCGCCACACTGTTGTCACAAATACTCTAAAACTGAGTTGCAGGCTGCCCTGAGCATGCTCCCCGCTATGGTTATCACAGATGAGCCCCCGAAGAGGGGAGATGGGGAACCAGAGCAGTCGACACAGCCTGAGCTCCGCCAGCCGACCTGAACCTCCCGAAGCCGGGCTCTTCCTAACGCGCTAACGGGCGATGGTCGGTAATCACAGTCGTCTGCTGTTAACGTTCGGAGGAAAAGAAATTCCTGTTATCTAACCTAACGGATCCCCCGGTAGCTCTGATGCAAGTAAAATACAGCAGGCTACTGCTGAGCCCTCAGCGAGCACTGATTGTTCTCTGTCACAGCACGTTTCTCCTCGTGTAATTTCCGAAGTGCACACACAACGGGCTGGCCCTGGAACCAGGCGTCGCGCTCAGCATGGTGGCGGGTGTTCGATAACTTTCACTGCCACGTGCCCACGCCTGATGGCGACGCGGGGCCGAGCAGACCCCAGACGACCGGTGCGGCTTTGATGAGGGAAGAAGAGGGGGTGGGAATGGCCTGTTTATAGGGATCACGTGGATGAGTCTTGGAGCCGGGTCACCGGGATGGAAACATCAAATGGGGGTGAGGACAGACGGGGTGGGAAAGGACCAGGGGGGCACTTAATACTTGGAGGACGGTCTCCTGGGCTCCGGGACACCCTCTCCTGAGGTTCCCTTTCAGGTGCTTGGCCTTAGGGCGGCCTGCAGAGCGTTGGGGGCTGAACGCTCACGTCCTCTGTGAGCGTTTTGCTCACAGAGGACGTGAGAAATTCAGTGCCAGATGTTGGAATAACCGCATGGACTTCAACCCTGGCTCCAGCTCCTGATTAAACCGTGAGCAGGAAGGGCCTGAGGTGCCCGGAGCAAACTCTTCTCACTCGGGCCATCTCGGCCACGCCGCCTGGGGACCTGGCGCATCGGGAAAGCACGGTTAACAAACCAGAAGCACCCACCAGAAGTCCTTCCTTCTGCTCCCAACACTTGTCTCTGAGCTGCGTTGTCTGCAGGGGGGTCCGAGAGGGATTACAGGATTACAGGGGAATTTTTCCTTTTCTCCCTTTCCTACTTCATCAGAATCACCAGGGGAAAACATACCAAAGACCCAACTCAGAGAGAGAAATATCTCAGAGGTCCCCACGCCGAGATGCCGTTACTTAACGGAATAGGCATCCTTGACTGACTGACTATACGTACTTAAGTTGCAACACAGAGAAAATTTAAAAATTAGTCCCTGGAACCTAACTTGGAAATCACTGAGTGACGGCAGATGAAACTGTCCCTCTCCGGCCACACGCCAGGAAAGGATGGAAGGGGAGAGGGTCCTGGAGAATTTTAAAATTATCGTCTCAACGCCAAGTCCGAATTTAGAGATGACAGACGCGTGTGCAAGGGCAGCTTTCCGATACACAATCAGAACGGATAGCTCCTACTCCGCTGTCTCCCTGCTTGGAGAGGGCTCATCTTAGCCGTGTTCGGACAAATCTATTTTTATGATCATTGCTACGAGGAAAGCCATCAATTACTGCAAACTCTGTCGCGTGAACTCATTTGCAGAAGATGACGGCTATCAATACAAACGGTCCTGACTCCCAGGCACACGGAATGTTTAAGCATCAGGGCAGACTCGGGGGCCACGGACAGTGTCATCGTCCCGACTCCTGTCCCTCCTGCTCAGGGACAGACGATACGGCAACCGTTTTTACCAACCACAGACCTGAAGGCTAACCCCAACCTGTGGGGGCCGTCGGCCCAGCCTCCCATCCATCCATCAACTCTCAAGTCAGAGCAGGAGACCCTGAGAGGTGCATGCGAGCATCGATTCTGTAAAAACGGATGATTTGCACAAACCTTTTTCCAGGGGCAGCTTTCTAACCACAGGTCAGGCCGCGCGCAGAGAAAGGAGGTGGGAACCGGGGGAATTCCGACTGGTCAGTTCTAAGACTGACACACGGACAGCGTTCAGGCAACCCAGACACCTGCCCCACCTGGGTCGCCAGGCTGGTCTCTCAGACCGTTGATGAGAAGGGTGCTTCGGCCTCAGGTACTTCCTCATCTTGCATTTGCTCAAGGTGCAAACATTTCCTCGAAATGTCACACCCGGGGTTAAGTCACTTACGCATCCAGACGACCCAGGGATCGTCACAGTGAGCGTAGGTCCCACGTGCAGGAGAGCTGACTGTGGGTGAGAGCACTTACCTAACCGGCTTCTGTTTCAAGACTCCTCCCATGAGAGGGACGAGCCCAGCCAAACACAGCCCCCGTGTTCCGGAAACAGCAGAACCCACGTCCTCGCGGGACTAACCTGGCGTGCCACTCCTTCCGCAGGGTCTGGCGCGTGGTGAGCGAGGCGAGGATGGCGGTCACCATGGCATTCCTCTGTCCCACGGGGACCCCTTCTCTTCGCACTTCATGAAGCACCCCATTTGTCTAGGAGAAATGATCCAAAAAAAAAAAAGGGAAAAGAAAGAGTGAAAAATTAATAATACCAAAAAAAAAAAAGCCCATAAGCAAATAAGGACAGTAAATCAATGGCTGTTTTATTACAGTTCCCCTGCTAACCAATCAATACAGTAAATGATGGCCAGGAATGGCCAGCGTGGAGTTTGTGTTTAATCAATGTACGCGGCACCGCGGTAGACTCTGGGCCCCGCTGCCCCGAGTCATATCCGCGTCCTGTGGGCGCCCCTCTAATGTTCTCACGCCCCGACGACTTTCTTCCCTGGGACTTGCCTACCAGGAGCTATTATTAGACATGATTTCCACGTACACTGTGCCGTGCGTTGTTTGTTTTGCCTTTTAAAGAGAGGGTCTCTGACTTTCTCTCTCTGTGTTTCCTGCCCCCGAGCAAGGCCTGCTGTTCGGCCTCTCCTACTGGAATCATGCATTTCTACTTCCGGCCAAGCCGGCCATTCTGTTGTTGTTGTTTATCCATTTGCTTAGTTCCCACCACCCCTGGTCCTCCCAGTATTCCTGGTTTCCTGAAGTTCCTGAGTCCAGATCCTTTTCTTTAGGTACATATTAATGATCTCAGAGAGGAAGAGAGGTAGAGAAAGAGAAACGTCAGTGATGAGAATCATTGATCGGCTGCCTCCTGCGCGCCCCCGACTGGGGATGGAGCCCACAGGCCGGGCATGTGCCCTGACCAGGAATTGAACCCTGACCTCCTGGTTCATAGGTCGATGCTCAACCCCTGAGCAATGCCAGTTGGGTTTCTTCTCTTTGGATAATTCGAGTTATCCAATAGCCTTTCATCAAAGCCCCACTTTGTTCAAATTTACCAGACTCTGTTTCTGTTGCCTACAATCTAGAACCCTACAGATGCAGCCCAGCTGGTGTGGCTCAGTGGTTGAGCATCGACCCATTAACCAGGAGGTCACGGTTCGATTCCCAGTCAGGGCACATGCTCGGGTTGTGGGTTTGATCCCCAGTAGGGGGCGTGCAGGAGGCAGCCGATCCATGATTCTCTCTCATCACTGATGTTTCTATCTCTCCCTCTACCTTCCTCTCTCTGAAATCAATAAAAACATATTTTTAAAAAACAAAAAACCTCCAAGAAACGGTGAAACGCCATTTGCCAACCTCAACCCAGGAGCATTTCATTTTTTTTTTTAAGCGTACGCATTAGTGCTGGAGCTGCAAAAATATTCCCATTCTGGTCAATGGTTTGGCAGTTCCTTATAACAATTACACAGACACTTAATACAGGACCCAGAAATCCCATTGCTAGGGATTTATCTGAAGAGATTAAAGCCTTATGCTCACACAAAAACATGTGCACCAATGTGGACTGCATCTTTATTCGTAATTGCCAAACACTGGAAACAACCAACATGTCCTTCGAAGGGTGAATGGATAAACACACTGTGGTACATCCATACGAGGGAATCCCTACGGCCCGGCCATCCACAGGGACAAGGCACCGACATACGCAGTCACTGGGATGACCAGCGAAGGCGTCATGCTGAGCGGAAGGGGCCGGTCTCAAACGCTTAGGGCCTGAGTGGTCCCACTTATTTGACATTCTGGGAAAGGCAAATTCTAGGGAGGGAGAGAAAAGCAGCGGTGGCCAGGGAGTAGGTCGGATGAGTGTTATTACACAGGGCAGCGTGGGGGGATTTTTGGAAACATGGGACTCTGCTGTGTCCTGATTGCAGTGGCGGTTACATGATCTCATACATACGTTAAAACTCATGAACTGTCTATCCCCAAACAGTCTATCTGACTGTATGGAAATATTACAACGTTTACTTTTTAAATGCATTTTCATCAAATGTTTAGGACGAGAAGGGATGTAGAGAACACGCTTACATACAACTACATCGAATGGATTAAGTACTTAGCAAAAAATAGGAGGAAATATAGGGCGCCCCCCAAAATGTACCCACACACTTTGAATAATGATCAAGTCAGTGTTTATTAAAATAAATTTCATTTTCAAAACTGAGCTGTCAGCTGGTAAAGTACATATTCATTTGGGGGGGGGCTGTATATCTGGATGACAAAACACAATCTGCTACAACTTATTTTTGTAATATTGGAAAAGGAGGGGTGAACGTACATGGGGCACTGAGACCCTCCAATACAGTATTTCCTGAAATTCAGAGCGAGAAGAAGTCCTTGCCCGGATGGAAACTTCAGGGTGTCCACGGGCCTTCCTCCTACTAGGATCCGCGGGGCAGTTCTCCTCCTTCTAGGAGCGGTGGCTCCTCGGGGCTGAGTTTGCACAGGAAACGATAAGCGGCCCATTTTCCCATCAGGAGTAACGCAGAGCTGTCTTCCAACAAGTGCCAGTTTTCAAACAGGCTCCGGTTACCAAAAGCACATTCTTCCTCTTCTCCCCTCAAAACACGGGGCAAGCGAACCGCAGGCCCGGGGCGCGGGCTCTGGAGGAGGAATTTCATCTCATTGCCATCTTTTCCCGCAGAAACCTATGGGAAGGCTGGTGAACCAGGAGGAGACTAAGGCGGTTCCCCGGACGGCTGGCCGCTCGAATCCCAGCCGTCGCCTCCTCACTGTGGGCCTCATCTACACAGCGACACGGAGATGACAGCCGAACCTCCCCCAGGTTCCTGTGGGGACACGTGCCCAGTACAGATGCCTCTGTGATGATTAGTTTTGTTTCATCTTAAACTCACTCATCAACCTAGTGCTAGGTGGTGCTATTTTTTTTTTATCCTCACTTGAGGATATTTTTCTATTGATTTTTAAGGAGAATAGAAGGGAGAGGGAAAGACAGAAATATCGATGTGAGAGAAACACATCGATTGGTTGCCTCCTGCACGAGCCCCAACCAGGACCGGGGCCGGGGGGGAGCCTGCAACTGAGGTACATGCCCTGGACCGGAATTGAACCCGGACCCCTTCGGTCCGCAGGCTGACACTCTATCCACTGAGCCAAACCGGCCAGGGTGGCTGTGGTATTTCAACAAAAAGATGCCCGAGAGTGTCGATGACTTGAAATGAAAAACTTCAAAAGGAAACCCATCTCTTAGCCTCTGCGACAGCGCGGAGATATGTAATGCTTTCAACAATAAAGATTTAATTTAAAAAGAAAAAAGGAAATCAGGCCGCCACCGAACACACACAGCCATGAGGAGCCCCCCAGGAGCCAGCGGCAGGCCCCTCTGCAA